GGCCGAGCCATACCCACGATGTGTCTTTGCCTCCACGCGATGTGAAACGAACCTCGGCATTTACCCAGTCCCCATTGAGTCCGGGGAGGGAAGGATTAGTAGGTACTGTGTAATAAGGCCGATAAGGTGGGCGGTGTGGGTTCTCGACCCATTTGGGAATCCGGAGCGATTAATTATCGGCGCCGTGGGCTACTGTGCTATTCTGTATTTGACCGTTCTGCTGAAAGTGCCGAGGCCATTGGATCCGGAGAAGACTTGACCGGAGCGGTATAGTCTATACTTCCTAATTGGAGTCCACCTTATTATTTCTCGGGCTTCGCCGTTAAATCAGGAGTATCTACGGAGTACTGTGGTCTACATTCAAGAATTTATTTCTTTCTATCTTAATAATCCCTTTCTCTCTCTCTCTCTCTTAATGGAGTGTCTTCCGGGGCCCCATGATACAGGTGATGAATAACCCTCTCCGAAAGCGGATCGACGCCATAAATTACTTACATTAACATATGTATTGACAGATTGTGGTTTTGGACGAGGTATCGATGTAGGCACGGAGTATGGACATACTAAGTATGTAGTACCTACATACACACAAATTAAGTTGCATAAAGATCATCCATCCCGTGATCGTGATGCTTTACCTTCTCTCTCTCACATGCTTGTGATTTAACCGAGTAGTACCACTTCGTGTCCCAACAGAAGTTGATGGGTTTCTTATTATTACTGATTTAATTTTCCTTTTTCTTTGATTTTTATTTCTTTGATTTGCTCATCCCATAAGAAGCTCATCTTTTCGAATAAACTTTAAAACCAGGGCAAAGAAAAAAAAAGGGGGAAAAGAAAAAGAAGTGACCTGATATGGGTATGTCTGTCTGGATGTACGTGACTTGATCGGCCTTCGCATGTGGTGAGTTTCATGTGAAGTTCCCCCGGGCCACATGAACTTTGCATTCTCTTGATGGCCTCTTACCTAGGTACGAAGTAATAGGGTGCTCGTTCATCCATCTATAGCGACGTAACTAATGAAAGCATCTTTGTGTGAAATGTTGTAAATCAGTTCGTTCTTCAATTCGAGATCAGAGGATACGAATAGTTATATATCACAGCCATTCAACCCAAACTCCATGCCATGCAAACAATTAGGGAAAAATCAAATACTATACAAAACGGAGGGAAACGAACCACCTTGAAGAACCCTTGTATAAATGACTCCCTCATCTATCGTCCCACCATGCAAGTCCGGTTCCCTTGGAGTCGACAGCGAGCAGTTTACTCAGAGATGTATATAATATGTATATACTCGTTATGTATGTGCAAAAGAAAACAAAAAATAATGAAAATTATAAGAGAAAGGCGTCGGGTGGGCCCGAAAGTGCCGGCGATATTCTCGTGGGTTATGTAAGCGTCTAATTTAGCCTCGAAACGAGCGAAAGATCCTTTGATACCATTTCGTAGTGGTGGTTTCCCATGACTCGTTTTCAAGAGAAACCCGACCGGTGTCGATATCGGCCTCGAGTGGGGGAACAAACGACGTCCGATAGAAGATCTTATGTCCCACATAGAGTACCACAAAGAGGATCAAGCTGATATAGGCGATAAAGAAATCCGTTACACTGAATCTTGGGATCCAAGCAGTGAACCCTTGAGTCAAAATGATCAACATATTGAAGAAAAGCCCATACCAGGAATACCAGGGCTGCCACATCGCCTTAAAGGGAAGAAGGTCACGAGACATATTGCGAGCCTTCAGAGCTCGCATGAATGCAAGATGGCAGGCATTCAAGGAACACCAAGTGATGAAGCCTGCCACCCCTGCAATGTTGAGAAGCCAGTTGAACACCGTACTACCAGCATTAGACACATTCATAAAGCCGAGCAAGCCAAACGCCGCAGTGAAAATGACACCGTAGTAAGGCACGCCCCTTTTGGACGTTTTCTTGAACCAGCGCGGGGCAAGCCCTTCTTGAGCCAGGCCGATTAGGATACGGCTACCACTGTAGACGTTGGAGTTGGCGGCGGAAAGCACAACAGTTAACAGGACGGCATTGATGATATGAGGCAGGACCTTCACGCCCGCAAGTCTGGCCGCAATGACAAACGGTGAAGAGTTTGCATCGTTTCCGTCCTTAACGAGGTCTTCGTTTGTGTAAGGCACCAGCAGGCCGATGAAGAAGATAGTCAATACGAAGAAGAATAGAATGCGGTAAAAAGTCTTGCGGATCGCAGAAGGAATAGTCTTGCGGGGATTTTCAGTTTCACCTGCTGCAATACCAACCAATTCTGTTCCCTGGTATGAGAAACCCGCCTGAATAAGCACAGCCCAAAAGCCTACGAACTTGGCTGTTGAGTCGGGAGAAACATCGGCATAAGCTGCAAATGGACCTGGATTAGTCCAATAGGTAAAACCTAGGTATCCCTTATCACCGGCCCCGGCATCAATACAAATTGCAAAGATCATAAATCCAACAACTGTAATCACCTTGATACTAGCGAACCAGAACTCCAGCTCACCGTAAAAGCTGACAGGTAGGAAGTTGAAAAGAGTGATAACCACCCAGAACACTGCGATGAAAATGGCGATGTTGATATCCTTGTCCCAAAACTGTATAATCAATCCGGTCGCAGTTAACTCCAGTGCAAAGGTACTAGCCCAGGAAAACCAATAGATCCAACCCATAGCGAAACCAAGACTGGGGTCGATCAATCGAGCTGCGTAGGACGTAAACGCTCCTTGAATTGGCAGATAGCTTGCTATTTCACCCAGGGCCTGCATGACGGAGTACACGATGGAGCCGACAAAAAGATATGCAATCAAGGCGCCTACCGGCCCTGCTGTACCAATGGCGGTGCCACTACTGATGAAAAGACCTGTACCAATTGTACCACCTAATTCTGGTCAGCACTTTTCTTTTCTTTTCTTTCTTTTTTTTGGTCTTCCGTGGGCGAATAAGTTTCAATGGATGACGGCAGGCATATGACGCGAGGGGGAGGGAAAGGAAATAATGAAAAGATATCCGTACCAATGGCAATCATTTGCAGATGTCGGCTTTTGAGCTGGCGCTTTAGATCCGGTACTGGGTTCGACTCGCGAGTAGCGCCATGCTTCTCGCAGTCCACGTCCTTCAGATCGGACGATGGAGTGGTAGCATTGACCTGAAAGGCCTCATCGTTTGCCATTGCTTCTTTTCCCTCGGATTTTGGTGTGAGGTTGAACCCGTCCTCAAAGGCCATGTTTGGACCTTGACAGTCCAATAGCTGAGGGTGAGGCGAGGTCGAAGAGCAAGTCGTCGTGAGGTGCAGAAAGTCGAAAGGTTCTAGGTAAGGAAAAGGTTGGAAAGACTGGCTCCACCGGGAAATCTTTTGAGTCACCACTGCACTCCAGCGGGCAGAGCCTTTTTACTATGTATTCTCTGTGGGGCAAACTAGTGCTCAACCCAAAGGAACGGGGTACAGTGGTTATCGTAGGCGTCAAGCATAGAACTACTCCTTTGGGAGTTTGCTGGAGATAACGGGAACGGCGAATGACAGCGATGGGAAACAAGCGATTATGTGTGCACGACCAGAAAACGTTATGTAAAAAGAATGATTAAAAGTCAGGGGAGCGAATGGAGACCTCCTCAGTGCAACAGATGCAACGCTGGTGAGATAGGCTAAGGAGAGGCAGATAAATAACCCTGATGGCTGATTATAATGGTAATAATAATGGTAATTTCTAACCAAAAAGAACAAAAGAACACTTGCAGGGAAGGAGAAAGATTTTCAATCCATTGGAAGAACTCGATACCTATTTTTAATCGAACTGCTGTGTGTCACTCAAACCGCTGAAAACTTTTCCACCGCGGATGGAGCCTCCGCACGAAACGTTGGCGGCGGCGGCGAAATATAAATCTTCCTGGCCCACTCCATCTTGAAGTGGGCCGTTGATAGGAAATTTTGGGCGGAGGAAAAATTTTTCTCTCGTAAGTCCGTGACGATAGTGATTGAAATTCTGGGTCGTGCGGTGGCGGGAAAGTAGAAATCGGCACCAATTCGCCGTGTTCTCTTTACTCATGCTCATGCTAACAAATGCTTAATTTTTTAGTAGTAAAGGAGCAGGTCCTGTAGCTGTAAGTATATCTACTTAGTAGTATCCTTTTATCTTCGTCGGGTACAAAATTCCGTGGCTGGGCACCGGGGGTGGCCAGGCCTTTTAAATGTTCCCATCCCTCAGCTGCGGCTGGGCACTGAATTCCCGAGGAAAAAGAACCCTAAGTACTCCGTACTAAATAGCTTCATCCTCGAAGCGGATACCTACCTTCAGTAGACCCCGGTACCAAGCAAATCCCCCAAACCCCCCTATTCAGGCATTGATCCGATATCCTGTATCTATGCATGTTCTTCAGTGGTCTCCATCCTTTATACATACAGCGGAGGTCACATACTTTTGACCCCGCACTTTACACGCAAACACGATCTCCTGCACTATGAGCCTACGACGACTAGTACTCAAGTCCAGCAAATTGTCGTACTACATTGTTGGGTAGCTCTCGTGAGTGCTTTATCTCCTTTCCCTGATCCCGACATAACCAATTCCAGCTATCAATTTGTGGAATGAAGATATATACATTGTCCACACATACACACATATATAGGCATTAACATGTCTTAAGATAACTTCACATCCAATTATATAAAATGGTAAACAAAGGGGGGGCCCACTCAAAATTGAGCCATAAGGAGTAAACTGGTCAAGTTGCAAGACATAACGGGATAGACTATTGCAAAGTGACTGGAGCCTCTTTTTCTTGCTCGTATATTTTATCGGGCTCCCGTTGGGCTTTCTTCTTTTTTCGGCACTCCTTTCATTGAGGACATTATCATTGAAATCGAATCAACCGGAGTCAGCGCAGATATCGTAACACATAAAATTTAGCACCTAATGTCGAGCTTCATAACATAATATTATCCAGAAACTGGTCCTAATCGCTGAGAGGCAGCTCACGGCACTGCCGCTACTATTCCGCTTAGACGCCAACGTGAGCAGTAGTTTGAGGGGCAGGCTTCGTACCAGTGCTTGACCTGGTACGCAAAGCACCGAGAACAGCCACTACTGTCGTGGCCGTAAACAAAGCCCTGTATACCTTATATCAGCAGCTAATACTACGGCAGCTTTATAATATGGCAAAGTCATTCTCAACCAGGGAGGACATACCACTCGAATGCTCCAAATACCGTGGCTGCCTGAGCGCAGTTGCAGGCGCTCCAGTGACAGAACCTAGGAGCAGGAAGCAGAACACCCAAGGCAATAAAGCCTGCAAACCAGAAAATCAAGGTAATCGCTTCTACGGCTGGTATAACGAAGCGATGTGCGATCTGGGGGAAGTGCACAGGCGCAAGGGCGAGGTACGGAGTTGCGAAGAATGCCGTCCAGATGCTATTGAAAAGCATGAAATTGACGGTGTTATTATTGTACACGCTGACAACTTTTCTTGAGAGTCAGCGTCCTTTCAGCTTGCCATGTCAGCTATAAGAAGGAGACTGACTGTATGCGGTCAAACCAAGAATGATGATCGCAAAGACCACTTGAACAACCCGAACAGGATAAACCCAAGGAAAATCCAGAGCCATCGCGGGCAGCAGGTAGCGAGCCTCTTTGGTCCTTTCTCGTAGTCCGCAACGCAATCAGAATGAGAAGGGAAACACAATGCCTGACGACGTTTGCTACAGCCGTTCTATCAAGATTGGTTATCTAACGAAATTGAGAAAAGCAGAAAGTTGGAAAAAAATATTTAGCAAGGCCTGTGATTTAAGAGCATGTGGTAAACCTTGTTGTCGAAGATCTCTTGCCGTTTTTCGGCAACGAAACTCTGCCGCTGATACTCTCTCAAGATATTCCTTACCCCAATTTTCAGCTCGCAGCGGGGGACGAGTTGGTAAAGATGCTGTTTTGGCCGAACTTAAGGTGAACGTCTGCGTCAGTGGCTCAATTTCCGGGTTGATGCCTCAGGTAATTACCTTTTTCACATATGGTCGCATGTTGTATGGAAGGAAGGAGATTGTGAAAAGTTCCTGGGTATTCAAGGAAGAAGTTGACCGACATATAAGCGGGTCATTTCTCCATGACTGAATTATTGGGTGGTTCGTTTGGTGGAAGCTTGTGATCATCAATATGGCTGCCTATGACGACAAGCGCCTCGCGGCGCACTCGTGAAGACGAAGGATTGGCTGGGGAGTGGGTGACAATGATCTCATGAGCTGCTAATTTGAGGAGCCATGCAGATGGGTTTGTTGGCAGATTCTGATTGAATGCGACGGGGAATCTACTCGTTAGCAGTTTCTACTACTATTACTACTACGGCTATGTAAATACTGTGGTACATATGATAAGTACCTGTACAGTATGTTTATACTTATAGGGCGGAAAACGTGACTAGCCCTACAATGACCTCAAGTATTCTAGAGTTAGTACGGGAGAATTGTGGTGCTCAGTGGTATACATGGTAGATTACCATAAAATATTGGTCCCCTGGTTTATTTCTTCACTAGGGATTGATTGTACTGTACCCCTGTACTAACAGTAACCCAGCGTCACCGAAACACCACGATTCCCACCATCGATTTATCAAGCTGCATCTCTGGAAGTACTGAGCCATTGCAGCCAACGCGCATTAAATCATTTTCCTACATTTTAAACGTGTTTCTGCCGGCAGAATAGTCTACTATACTGAATCTACTTAAATTACTCATTTGGTCTGCTTAATCTGCTTAATCTGCTTAATCTGCTTAATCTGCTTAATCTGCTTAATCTGCTTAATCTGCTTAATCTGCTTAATCTGCTTAGTCTACTTAGTCTACTTAGCCTACTTTGTCTGCGTGGTCTGCGTGGTCTATATAGTTACTAAGTAGTCTGTATAGTGTACTTGGTTTGTGTAGTATAGGGCATACAGCTCCCGGGGGGGGGTGTCAGGATTTAGTGGCTGGGGTTTAGGGTGGGGCGGAGAAACCACCTCCGAGGGGATCAGAAGAAATACTGCCGCTTCACATGATATTTTAATTCTGACCCCTTGGAGCTCTTTTACGGGACTATTCTAGTTTCTGACCCCCTTAGAGTTCTGATCAGATTTTAGCTACGTACTTGAAACTATATTTAAACTAAAAACTTTTTTATTAAATTAAAATATATATTAAATTTAAATAATATTTTAAATATAATCCAAAGTGTATTGATTCTCAAAATCTTTTTAGTTTAAATATAATTTAAAGTAAAATCTAATCAAAGCTCTGAGGGGGTCAGAAAATTATTTTAATTCTATGTGATTTCGAATCGGAGCGCTCCTAGTATAAATAGCCTCGCCGAGCACTATCGACCTCCAGGAGGCCGGATTCAATCGATTCCCTACCGGATCCGTTCGACAACCTGTCGAACGAGGCTGAGCGAACTGTCGAATAGAATCCTAGACTAGCGACCCACTTCGCAGTAGTATAGTATTAGATCGAGCCCGAGTAACAGGTATAAGAAGGCACTCCCAATCCTTGAGCTTGGAGACCTTGCGGAGACCTTGCTCGGCCTAATATGAACCCTACGTTTGCTGAAATCACATCTATAAAATTTAATCCCTTCGGAGCTATAGCACGTGATTTCTAAATTCTGACCCCTTCGGAGATCCTATCATGTGATAAAGGCGGTAGACCTCTAAGGGGGTCAGACCAGCTACTAAATTCTGACCCCTCGGAACTGGGACCCCGTGTAGGATACTGTGTATGTAGTATACAGAGTCTATTTACTCTGTAGTCTATTTGGTATAATTATATAGTCACATGACTGGGAACTACTGGGTCAATTAATATAACTAGCAAACAAGCGGGCTATGCCAGTCGAGCGGGCCATCTTTATTCTATACGAAGGATACTTTTAGAAACCAAGTATCTTAATAACCAAGGCTAATAGTGATCTGGATTCTAGATCTAATAATATATAAAGTAATATAAATTATATTGTATTTTTGGTAATTTATCTATAATTGTATTTAAAATGTCAGAAAATTATATTAAAAATATATTAAGATATATATTCTATTTAAAGACCCTATATTTATATCAATATTAAATATTATATTACTATTATCTCTGGTTGTTGAGATAACTAGATTATCAAAGTACCATTTCATATAGAATATAACATGGCCCGCTTGTTTACCAGTTATATTAGTTAGGATTTAGAACTAGTATTAACTAATCAAGCGCGGTCAGATAGTTAAGCGGTGAAAGAACTCGACAAGAAGAGGATAAGAAAACCTAAGAAAGATAGGAAAATGAATTAATGCGCGGTGGCCGCAATGGCTTGCCGTAGGTATGTGCCTGGTACTAAGAGTCACCCGCACAAACATGAACCCCAATCCCTTTCCCCATATGTTCTGGGGATGGAGTGTTTTGTGAGGGACTGTACTGTACGTATACATGGGTAAATGTATACAGGATCGTGCCCCTATACATGTGGAAGTGTCAAAGTTACAAATGTAGCCTTGCCTAATATCAAATCACTATGATTCTAGTAGAAACTGCTCTTCTTATTTTGCCCAGCTATATAGACGGATTTGTATGCTCCTTTCGTGCTTTTTCTGTTTTCCTTTTCCTTTTCTTTTAATTTTATCGTATTTTATTTTTAATGTTTATTATTTATTCATACTTTACTTTTCCCCCTCTTTTCGTTTTCTTATTTTCTAACCCCCTCCCTCCACCGATCACGCCATCGTAGTTGCGCATTATTGTTGCTACTTTATCCCCGCACATATAAAAGCAATGTAGTCATCCTTTCCACCTTACGGGCTCTCCTAAAAGCCGTGGGTAATAACTTCTAATGTTTTAGCCTTACACAGAACATAATTCTTGATTGACAATCCGGCTACAAAAAGACAGCAGCTGTTTCATTCAAAGGCACCAATGGCCGAGTCACGACAACCTCATTTTGAAACTCTTCAGCTTCATGCTGGGTATATATATTCATTTCCATCGTTCCCAACCAGCTCATGCGAATTCTGAGTATTAATGGACGTCAAGCCAGGAGCCTGACCCGACGACCAACGCTCGCGCTGTGCCTATATATGCGACCACGGTCAGTTTACCCGCTCCTTTCTGTACAATTTTGGTTGTATATAGTGGCCTTTTAAGTGATTCTAATATCTGTAGTCTTACACATTTAATGATTCTGCACATGGCGCCAGGCTTTTCGGCCTCAAAGAGTTTGGTAATATCTATAGCCGTATCATGAACGTAAGTGACGAAAGGTCGTTGGCCCTAGAAGGTAAAAAGAGCTAATCATACTAATTTTTTACAGCCCACAGTCGATGTCTTCGAGAAGCGTATTGCAGCTCTCGAAGGTGGTGTTGCAGCGGTAGCAGCCTCTTCTGGCCAAGCGGCTCAGTTCATGGCAATCTCAGCACTTGCGCATGCAGGTGACAATATCGTCTCGACCAGTAACTTGTACGGAGGCACATACAACCAGTTCAAAGTTTTCTTCCCCCGGCTAGGGATCACGACCAAATTTGTCCAAGGAGACAAGCCAGAGGATATCGGTGCGGCAATTGATGACCGCACTAAGGCCGTTTATGTCGAGACGATTGGAAACCCTCGATATAATGTGCCTAACTTTGAGGCTATCGCTAATGCTGCCCATGAGAAAGGTGTGCCTTTAGTCGTATGTAAAGATTAATTTTGTGATTGATTGGAGCAAGTGTTGACCATGGTCTAGGTTGACAACACTTTCGGGGCCGGTGGTTACTACTGCCGTCTTATCGAACATGGTGCCGATATTGTCGTTCACAGTGCAACTAAATGGATTGGTGGCCACGGAACCACTATCGGTGGTGTCGTGATAGATAGCGGCAAATTCGACTGGGGTAAACATGGTGCCCGATTTCCGCAGTTTGTGGAGCCATCCGAAGGTTACCACGGTCTGAAGTTCTGGGAGACCTTCGGGAATTTGGCGTTCGCAATCCGTGTCCGCGTTGAAATCCTTCGGGATCTCGGGTCAGCATTGAATCCATTTGCTGCACAACAGCTAATCCTTGGTCTGGAGACTCTTAGCTTACGTGCTGAACGGCATGCAAGTAATGCATTGGCTCTGGCACGCTGGTTACGTACAAACGACAATGTGAGCTGGGTTTCGTATCCTGGCCTAGAGGACCATCCCTGCCACGGGACCGCCAAGCGCTATCTGAAGCGCGGCTATGGCGGTGTCTTATCATTCGGTGTCAAGGGAGGCGCTGCTGCTGGAAGCCAGATCGTCGATGGGTTTAAGTTGATTAGCAATCTAGCTAAGTACGTCCCTCACTCAGTGATTATGAATCGCTACAGCCTCAGCTGATCAACCGGGTAGTGTCGGAGATTCCAAAACGCTTGCAATCCATCCTTGGTCCACGACACATGAGCAACTGACCGAGCAAGAACGGCTTGAATCTGGTGTTACTGAGGATGCCATCCGCATTTCCGTCGGTACTGAGCACATTGACGATATCATTGCCGACTTCGAACAGTCATTCGAAACTTCCAGTGCCGCACGTGCCTAATAGGGAGTTACAATAGCCTGTCTGGACCTATTATCGGAAGCTGTTGAGGTAATTTGGCGACAT